ATTTTTTAACTAAAAAGTTGCTTTTCATTTATTTTTTTAAATAATCAAAATATTTTTTAAAAAATTTATATAATATTTATTATAATTATATATTATCTATTGATAATATTTATTTTTTATTTATTTAATAAAAATTTAAAGTTTAATTATAAGCAAAAAAAATTTTTTAATAATAATTGATTTTAAACAAACCTAAAAGTTTTGTAAATTAATATTCATATAATCATAATTAGTTTTGTAAAATTATTTGCAAATAATAACTTTAATTATTACAATTTTAATGATTTAATTATGAAAATTTTAACTTGTATTAGAAGTAAAATAATTTTTTTACTTTATTAAAATTTTAAATACAAAGTTTAAAATTATTTATTTCAAAAATTTCTAATAAAATTTTAATTTTTTACTTAATAAAGTTAATAAAGAATATCTTAAATTATATTTTTTATAATACAAGTAAATTATAAAAGTTAATATTTAAAATTTCATTAAAATTTTTTAAAAACTTATTAAAATTTTAAATATGCAAGCAAATTTGCCTGTATTACAATTTAATAGATAATATACTAGTAATATATTTCAAAAATTAATAATAACAAGTGATTAAAATAACTGATATTAATCTTTATAATAATATTTTATATCACTTCTTTTATAATAAATATAGTCATAGCTGAATTTAGCAAGTAGGTGATTTAAATTAATAGTAAAACTATAGTTTCAAAAATTAAAATTAACTAGACTTATATAGACTTGTATAATGTTTAAAACACTATTAAAAATGATAATAAGTTATAATTTATATATTAAATTTAATATAAACTTGAGAATTGAGAATCAAATCAAATTAAATCATTAAAATCATTAGGTAAGATTTTTATCTCTTATAAAAAAGTTTATATATTATATGAATATATATTTGAGATATTTAAATAAATATATATTTGAATTAAAGAAAAATTAAGTTAATTATTACTAATAATAATCAATAAACAATATTAATTCTATTTATATAAAAAACACATATAATATTCAAATAATACAAATAATTCTGTATTTAAAAGATACTTGATATATAGTATAGATATTAATTATCAATAAAAGATATATTGTATATTGTTACATAATTTGCTTCTTAAAAAAAAAAAGTAATCTAAATATATATATTGTACTGTATAATAAAAAAAATTATTTTCTTTTGAGTTATTTATCTTTTGTTAAATTTACATTAGTAATTACTTAAAGTGATTTCTTGTTAAATTTCAAAAGTTTTTTATAACACATATTTAAATTAACAATCTTATATACATATTTTAACCATATTTTAAAACAGAATCTGTAACTTTTTCTTTCTTTTTTTTCAAATCTTCTATAAATACGTATTAATTATTAAATAAATAAATTTTAAAATACTTTTACTTGATAAATTTACAAAATTGAAACTTTTTAAATATTACATTTCTTGTATATTGTATTGTTTAAATACTTTATTTTTTTTTCTATATTTAAAAATTATATTATAGGTTAAGTAGATGTTTCTAAGTTGACAATATATATTTTTTAAATTTTCAAGTATTTTTTATATTTCATTTTGGAAGGACCAATTGCTTTAATTGCTTTATATTTGATGGATTAATGAAAGCATCTTTGGTTTTTTTTATTTACTTACAGTATTTATGTACAGTGTATTTGCATTTATTTATACATTGACATTTTATTTATTTAAAAAAAATCTAAAACAACTACAACTTTCTGCATTCGGACGACAGTCGATTTCATGATTTCATTGGTAATTAGTGAAATCCAAGGTACTTACCTTGCTTGAAGGATAATCACCAAGTAGGAAACTCGGAACTTGCCTAGGCCATTTATGGTCTGAAACTTAACCAATCACTACGTGCGCAATTTATTTTGAGTTGCCCAGCCGAGGGTCTTTTTAGCCAAATTTCTAGCAATTGTTCAAAGCCACTGGGTGCGGGGGAACCAAAAAATAGCATTCGAAATCTCCCCCTTTCTATTATCCACATTTTTCTATTATAATAATTAACAAGAATGTTCGAGATTCAAATTAATAAAGAAAGATTTTTCCAAATATGGATTCCATTGATTCATCAAAAAATCAATCGACGTTTCATGTTTAGAGATTGCCGATCAAGTCACCAAGCCTCGTGTAAAAATGGATATCGTCTTCCCAAGATCCCTCCAGGCAAGGTTTGTGCATGGACACGTTTCTTTCATTTATTAGTTTTACCGTTGTGACACCTGAACGTGGATTATGAAATACGGAAACGATCGCAAAACAAATAAATTTAAGCCGCGGTTATCGACACGACGTTAACCTGTTATTTTTTTTTTACATAATTTATTTTGGGATATATTTCGACCTAAATTTCTGTCCATGCATATAAGACTAAGCCTAACGAATTGCTTGACCTGTTACATTCCAATCACCCTGAAATTAGCGGGGCACCCGATTTTCAGTTACCTGGCGATCTCGAGAAGGTCAGCATGTTTATGTAATCCGGAACTTACAATGCTGCATTTGAAAAAAGATAATTGTGAGAAAACATGTTTTTTGTTTTGTAATGTGGTAATCTACTGCGTCCAAATTCTCTTTGACTTCGATTCCTGGTTTACATCTTGAAGATTCATCTGAATTCCCGCTGTGTTGATAATACATTGTTTAAAATTCCACTTTGGTCATCGATCACAATACTTACCTGTGCATCAACCGGAAAGTATTAACTTCCCCTTTGAGTGTTTTACAAACATGTCGTAAACCTTTAATCCTATGATCAACCTACTGCCAAACTTGATCCAAGCCCTGGATTTTTGTTTATATTCGAAATTCGAGGAATGGATTGCTTTCCATTCACGGTCCGTCTCAGCCATCTGTCCAAGCCACCGAAAAGAACTATAATATTTCTTTTCTAAATAAGATGCGTGATTCGTTTCACAGCCATATGATTCAATATTTGGAAACAAATTCTGTAAAGTCTCAGCCCATTCACCAAGCCTGACATGATCAACGTGAAATTAACATTTTTAGGCCTTCATGCCCTTATCTCAGCCATTTTCCGAAACTTAAAAACCAATTCGAACAATCTTGGCGAAAAACCCAAAGCGACAAGTGTCAGTGCAATTTCACGCATCAGTTTATGAATTCCGCAGGTATGGATTCGTTTTTTTTTTTTTGTAGGCTTAGCAAAACTCAAATTCAAACCTATCTGTGAACCCTTTCATTTGCTCCGCCCACAATGCGCGCCATAAAATTATATAAATTCCACATTTTCACACACACTTAGTCTTCATACCACCCTCTTGCAAATATACTCTCAAGCTTCATCTTGGTGGTTCTCGTTCCCACGAGCCTTGCGACGATTGTGCGGGCCCTTCCTGCCCTACAAGAATCAAAAATTTTCTTCTTTTCTTCTTTTTTAATGGCCAATACTTATCGATAAAGAAAGACGAGGATGCATATTATATTCTAAGGTTTCTGTGAAATATAGTCGCACGCGAAGTAATTGTTTCTCGCATATGCGGGCGACCCCTTCGTCTAAGGAAAGAAGGCAACTTTTTTAAAAAAATTTTTATACTTCATTCGTAAGTTTCACGTGATATCTGTGTACTTTTTTTGAACTGACCGTACACGAAGGATAACCATGTTTCCCAAATAATTCACTAGACAAATCCGGGAAGTCATTTGATATGACCACACCAAATGAATATATATATTCACGCAAAAAAAAAAAAAAAAAAAAGAATAGTCAGCGATTATTTTTAATATTAAACATACAAACATTCATAATCATAATTAGTTGGTTACCGTGAACTTTCGATTTCGCGAAAAGTTCAGGAAACATGCGCGCACACACGCGCACGCAAAAATCATCATTAGTCAAAACATCTTTCTTCAAATTATATAACACATGGTTTTTGTTAGTTAAATTTGAAAATTTAGATCACAAATGGCATTGTATTTGGAAATCTCTCAATTTTTTTTTTTTAAACACTATATTTTTTTGTCTATCCACTTTATCCTTTATTAAACAAAGCATCTAAATCAAAATTATTTTATACATTTAATTATATAATAGCTCTTCTCCATTTGTTATTTTTCTTTACACGTATATTTTTTCTAATTTGTAACATTTTTGGGAAGAAGTAACTCCAACTCTTTTTTTTTTTTTTATAACAAATTTTTAATCCATGGAATTTTTAATTTATTTTTCAAGAGTTGCTCTTTTTCTTTTCGCGAAGAGCTATTAAATTATTATTTTTTTTTGGAGGATAAAGTAAAGGAAGAGAGATTCTAAAATCACTTTTTTGTGCACATGAAATTCTCAGTGCGTGTTGTTGTTGTATGTATGAATGAAATCTTTCTCGAGATTTTTTTTTTTTTTTGAGGTGTATTATATAATTAATAATCAATTGCCAAATTAAAAGTTTTTGTGATCAAGCGATCTTTCGTGTTCTCGTTTAGCATGCTCGCTCCTTTTAGAATGATTTTCAGCATATTCCCATAAAGTATGTGGTAACTCTCACGACATCGAATGACGCGTTTTTAGATTCAATCGGTTCGTGTGACTTGAAAAATCGTGTTGCGATTCCTATAACGGCAAAGATCGAATGCCCAAATAGGTAAATAGCATCTGATCGATCTTAACCTTCTGCTCGAGAGGAAACTTTCTCGAAAAGAAACCGCTGGAAGAATGGATGAATTCATTGTTAACGTTGGAGGAAGAATTTTTACCCTTACAGCACAAAGGTATATTCGAGAAGCGTGCGGTTCCTCCTTTCCTCTACTTCTTCAACTTATTCACGCGCGCGCACCCCTATCCTTTCTTTAGCATATGGTGTGATTCGCCGAATCTTTTTACCGAAACTTTCTCAACCATGCCTCCAGGAGTCAATCAACCCTTCTTCGATCGTGATCCGGATGTATTTGAATTTGTCTCCTTATATCTACGTGGGTACAACATTTTCCCCTTGACCAAAGAAAGATTACCTGTGGGCTGGGACATGGATAATTTCCTCAAATACTTGACCTTGGACGCTTGTTTTTTCAAACTCCAACGTCTGGTTCAAATCATTCGTCCATTTTTCTTCATTGGCTTGAGCCTACCGGGTCGCGACTTCTTTTCAAATGAAGAGAAAGTCATGGTTTACATAAGAAGGGTCGAACCCTCGCTTCTTCATATCTCCGAGGATGGTAATGTCATGTATCGCAGACAAGGTCAAATCCTCAAGGGTGAATTCTTTGCCAATCATGTGGCGATGGATTTGCATTCTGCGAATCATTGGGAGTTTAAATTCCTCGGTAGATCCGATGGTATCATGATGTCAAGGATCTCCGAGAGAATATGGCCCCTCACGAATCGGTCGGCTTCTTACTTCCTTGGTGAACCCGGATCTTCATTTTTCGACATTGACGACACTCGAATGCACTGTCGACAAGTTTACGATCATTCCGTGGGAAGATCATTTCGCCTTTACAAATCAAGCACTGTGTCCTGCGCAAGAATATGGATATGCAAATTGGTGTTTTCGTTGAAAAAGTCACCGGATCCCGATAAATCATTGATCATAGTGCCTGTTTGGGGCGTCGGTGTAACACAATTGTATTTTGAGGCATCGAGCATTACAAAGTCCATTAGGAATTAACCGGCGGGCTTTATCCGACGCGATCCCTTTGAATTCCGAAAGTTTCCTTTTTTATTTACTGACCACCGTTTTAACGTCAAGGCCACGAGATGCGCGTTCAAATATGGTGGATCGCTGATATCCGTCATTCTTTTTTTTTTTTAAATGTACCGTATCTCGTGAAAAAGGTTTTCAAGAAGAAAAAAATTTCCAATGTTCTTTAAAAATGACACACACGAACACTGTTTAAAGCGCACATCGCACAGAATAAAATCTTGCACGCGTGATAATGACGATGTTTAATTAGAAGAAATCAACAAATCATAAAACTTTTATTAATCCCAACTCTTTATTTTCATGGTATTCTCGTCGCTCATAACATTCAAATGCATCTTAAACACTTTATCTAGCATTTGCGGTTGATGAGCTGCTCCGATTGCCAAGCATTTCTTTTCCGCTATATCAAAGTAGTCCCTTAGGATTGGCTGATAATCAGGATGGACGCAATTGTCAATTATTAATCGAGCACGTTCCACCGGGGCCTTTCCTCTGCAATCGGCCAGGCCGCGTTCGGTCACTATCACGTCAAGGTCGTGTTCGCTGCGCGATTAAAGGCGAAAACGGACGAGAAGGTTTAGGGACAAATGCGATTGATGCACCGAGAACGACAGCGAAAGGATGAAGCGTAGACTTACGTTGAGTCGATGTGTGAACACATGGGAACGATGCACGAAATACCTGTGGGATCCTTTTTGGTAGGTCTAGTGGATGGCGTATGCATTATGCTGAGTTTAGAGTTCCTCAGGAAGTCATTTGAACCGCCTAGACCATTTAACATCTTTGTCCCGCACACGTGCGTCGAGTTTGCGTGTGCATAAATGTCAAGCTAAAGGATGAAAGAAAATGTACATTTTTTTTAATCAATCCAACAAGCGCATAAACGAATGTGGACGAGCGACATAAGATACCGTACCTCAACAGGTGTATTCATGGCGATCACACCTAAACGCCTGATGATCTCCGGTGAGTTGCTAACACTTTGGCTTCTAAGAACCAGACGATCCTTCAATTCATCCCACATCTCATAGAATCGTTTGAATCCTATCGGCGAAAATGCGACGCTTGTTGCCGATGCAAAGGACAACTTATGGTGTTCCCAGAAATCCAGGAATGTATCTATGCGATTTTAAGTAAATGGAAATAAGAAAACTTGAAGAGACAAGTACAAAACGACCGTGCTCTGTATATACGGAAGAAATGTAAAAAAAAAAACAAAAAAAACCTTGTATTACTTCAGTCCATACTTCGACGTCGGTGAACGGACCATCGGCCAAACCTCCTATGATAGCGTTAGCGATATTTCCAACTCCTGACTGTAAAGGTAAGAGTTGTTTTGGTAGTCGACCCATGTTAACTTCGTGCTCCAGAAATTCGAGTATGTTGTTTGCAATTGCGCGAGAGCAGTCATCCTGTAAATCACTATCGGATGTACGATCTGGTCTCGTCGATTCCATGATCGCGACAATTTTGTCACTGTCACATGGAATATAAGGCTAAATACATTATATAATAGAGGAACAAGGATCAAATAAACCGAGAGGAAAGAACTCTGGCAGGGCCAATAACCAAGGTTCCCATACCGTTCCGACTCTATCATCAACTCGCTGAATCAAATTTGGAAACTTGTACGGGGCAAATTTGCTCAATGTGATGTCATGTAGGCCTTCGAAATTCGGCAAAAATGTGTTCACCTCAATAATAACATTGGCCGCCGATTGAACAATTTCTGGGGTGGCACCGACCGATGCACCGGGGATTATATTTCCTTCCTCGGTGATGGCGGTCGCTTCCACGATTACGACGTCAATTTTTTCTCTGACATTTCCCTACAGAAACGTAACCTTAGCAAGTATATAATGATAAAGAAAAAGAGAGAGAGAGAGAGAACAATTCGGCATATTTACCTTCTTCTCGAGCGTGTAATAACCAGAAACGAGATCCTAGACAGATTGGTGATCGACGAAAGTTCGTTATTAGAAGAAAAATCACAATTGACAAGGAAAGAAAGAATTAGATCTTTTTCATACCAAAGGAAATTCCGAGAGATGCTTATCGGCAAATAGAGTGCGATTCATGTTTATTTCCTTTTGAATGTCCTTTCCAACCTGATATGGATAACGACGAGCTATCATGCCATTCTGCAGGACGAAATTATCGAGGGCGGTGAGGATAAGATGTTCTTTCAATCTTTTCGAGAAGTCAATTCATAATCCGACAAAATACTTACTCTCGCCCATCTATAGGAATTTATGAACACAACATATTCCATTAAGAAATCTCATGATCCTCATTTCTAATTTGGAACCCACATTATCACCTACCTATTTTCAGTTTCAGCTGCGGTGCTCGCACCAACGTAAAGGTCGAATCGTAATTTTCCTTGTAGATTGTTCTTTTCCACATACTCCGCAAGAGCAATTGGTGTGATCTTCGGATAACCTACACCTGTGAATCCAGACTAACAAACCAAATTTAAGACATTAGTCGAAACGTGTATCTTTTTTTTTTTTTTTTGGCGACCGAATCTTGAGAAACAGCGAATTCCCTGGATTCTGCGCGCGAGATGTCTACCTACCCATCCCATTCTCATTCCATCTTTAAAAAATCCACTGTTGATGAGATCGTCGACGGTCGTGAGTTTTGAAAACAGACTTGGCCGACGAACTCGTTGTTTCAGAGTTTCGGATATTAGTTTTGAAGTCATCTTTGTTTTTTTTATCTGGTATATATCACTGCGTCTCAAGAAAATAAAAAGCTATCCGTTTTCCCAGAGCTCTCGAGTATGCGGGTAACGGAGCAATCAATTGACGATGGATGTGTGATCGTGGATGCGCGAGATAGGTTGTTTATTTATATGGTATTTATTTAGCAACAAAATCATGTGAAAAAAAAAAAAAAATCATTTTCTCGGGTAACGTTATGACAATCATTTCAAAAAAACATCATACGATGTCGGATTTTTAATTCATATGCTCAAAGATAAAGAATTCTCTCCATCGTATCGCGTGTTTTATCAGAAAGGAAAAAAGAAATGGTGCGTAAAACAGACAATTGCGCAGATAATGAGTTTGCCATTCGTATGGATGAAGAGACATTTCGGGAAATAAAAGCCCTTTCACGGTTGGTGTAACTTTATTGTCATCAGGGTAGATACGAAATGGCAAGAGTTATTATTGTAGACGTGAGTGGCACTTGTGTGAAAAGGCAAACATTATTCTCGATTAGATCACTAATTATCGATGCGTAAATGGATTTTTTTATTATTATCTTTATTGTTCGTCGTGACATGACATTCTTTTTGTTATGTTATGGTGTGATGTGATGAAGAGGTATGGCGATAAATAGCATGAGTGTACAAAGAGGAAGACATAAAGAGGAGGTGTTGAAAAAAATAAGAAAGTTTGCTTAGAAAGTAAAATAAAAGCTTGTGGGCGCATTTGTTACATAATGAGTTGGATGGTTTTTTTTTTTTTGTTTTTTTTTAGTAGAAACTTTTTTGAGGCCCCTTGTGCTTAGAAAGATAATGAAATTTTATTATGTTCATCCGGTTCTTTTTTGGGGGGGATACCGAAAAGGTATTTCCGTAAAAAACGAAAAACGTCGTGAGATAAACAGTACGGCTAATTCATGCGTATCCAATTATTTACGCTCCGTAATCCGTACACTAACGCGGCTAGCTTACGTGTTTCGGAAGAAATAAGAATAATGGAGCACACTTCTTTGGCGTTCCTTTGAGATCTCATACTATTCCAATCCCCGAGTGTGATGTCTTCAGGTTTGCAGCATACCTGCGAAGCGAGAAAGCGTGAGTCGACAAATTTGATCAAATTTGATGATGAGGTTAACTAACGGACCACAAACCTTTTTTATAAAAACTCGGGTTTCATTATCGAGGTGTTCACTTATTTTGTGATAAATAAAATCGTCTTTTTGTATTCCATATAATCGAAGAACGTAATACCGAATGGCCTCATTAACCAATCTGGTTTAGGTGGTACATTACATGATAATGTAAACATATTATTGTCAATTACGCGCAATAGATTGGAAAAAAAGATTCGACATTTACCCGTGTTCGTATTCGTCTTCGGTCATTTTCCGAATTTCCCTAAACTCTTCATTCAAAATATTACCAAGATTCAAATTATCATTGAAATGAAAATTGATCAAAGAGACTCCGTGTTCCCACCAACTAAAGTCTTGGGACCTGTGATATTTATAGCCATGTCTATGTTCGTTCTTTTTCAACACGAACTTGGAAGATGAAACCTCTACCGCGGGATCCAGATAATGCGAAAAATCATTGATGAGCACGTCAAATGGGATTTCTTCGCCTGGAATTTCTTCAGTTTCTAATTTATTGTTGTTTTCTTCATCCACCGGGATGTCGTGATTTTCGTTGTCTCCAGGATCACCCGGGATTTCTTCGTCTGGAATTTCTTCGGTTTCTAATTCATTTTTGTTTTCTTCATCCACCAGGATGTCGTCTCCAGGATCACCCGGAGAGTCAGAACCGTTGGCATTCGTCGCATTCTCAGGATCGAGAGAGGGGAGGGTCCACACCGAAGGCCTTCTGTATCCACCCACGGAATCATACTCTGGAACAATACCGCAGCCTAGCAGGTAACTACTTGAACTATGAAAGATGCAGATTATAATGATAATGTGTATAACCTGTTGAATCTGCCACGATTCATCACCCCTGCAAAGCTCATGAATGTGTTCCGCTTCCAAACACCATGGTTGATGGGCCAAAATACTATTGATTTTTGCAATTTTTTTGATTTTGGGCGGCGCGAAATTCAAACCGTCAAGCCAACTCGGATTACCGCCGGCGATTAAGTATTCGTTTGTTAGGTGCGAAACCAGATATTGACATTTGTGCTGAGAGGCAGCCTATTCAAAAAAAAGAAAGGATTCGGAGAAGATGAATATTTGTCGAGGATTATGATGAGACGTGAAAAAAAAGATGATGATCACGAAACAATACCATAATCCCGAAGTAATAAGTTTCGGGTATTGAGAGGGCACCCTCATGGAATCTCACCAGTCCCTTGTACGAATTCATATATGACTTTGCAAATGCCGGAAAATAAAACAACACGCGAAAATGGTTGCTGAGTCTACCGATGTCGATAAAATTCTCAATCATTAAATTTTGAACATCCACATCAGGTACAATGCCAATCGGTTCGGATGATTCACTGTCGTCAGGCCATTCGAAAGTTTCCTCGGGTGGTATGTAGAATGAAGGGTATGGATAAATTGGCGATGGTATGGATACATTCTGACTCTGAAAATATCGGTTAAACAGTGTGAGTCGTCAGATGAATTTAGGAGTACCACGCGTGAACCCATTCGGTTTGTTTTACACGTGATCTTGGATGATAAAATTTTGAATTAGGGTACCTCCAAATCTCTCAAAAGTTCTTTGAAATTGTGCCGAACGTTCGCGTAAGGACAATTGATGGACATACGCAAGATGATCAAAAGATGTAATTCTAATGTTTTCCGGTTCTCGCCATCCTGCAAGTTCTTGGCCCAATCGATAAACGTTGCCTTTATACTCTCCACAGTATTTACCCGGTTTTGGGGTTCAACACTTCGTACGCCATAAAAAAGGGCATTTTTAAGCAGCCCAAACTCACGCGATGCCATGTGCGTATCTCTAATTTCCATGAGCATTTTTGTTTTTTTGTTTTTTTACAATCGTGAGGTCAGGAGAGAATCCTATACAAACAATCTATTTCTCTTTTTCTTTCTTTTCGCGAAAGAGATATCAACGACGGAAGAAGGTGATACGGAAGAAAGGTAGAAAATGAATGAAATCGCCGAGAAGGTGTGCGTGCGTGCGTGCGTGCGTGCGTGTGTGTGTGTGTGTGTGTGTGTGTTTAAGTATTTACGTTTCCAAATGTTATACAGTATATACAGTACATACAAATTTATCCTCCAGGGTGAGGGAAAGGATAACGCTTTCAAGGAAAAACGGTGGGGTATTTATATATTTCAGAAAAAGTAATATGCAACACACACCAAAGTTTATAGGTATGATCACAAATAACAAAAATCGGGATCATGAATTACACACACTACGTAACCTCGTAATTGACTGCAGAGACCGCGGGAGAAAATATATACAATGAGTAAACAGTGTACAGTACCTACAGTATACAGTATAAACCAGTTCACGATAAAAGATATTATACGGAATTGATGTCAAAAATGTTAAAAGTAGGGTGAGATAAGCGTCATCGGTTCCCCTTGTGGGGTAGGAGATAAGCAACCGATAACTGTTGTAATTAATCGAATAGAAAAGAGAGATAACATTCATTATTCTTTTTTCTGCCAGGAGATTTTACAATGGGATCAACAAGGGTTCACTAATATTTGTAGAAAAACGAGAACACATCAGGTTTTCAAGCGGTGAATCGAAACTATCATAATTAAAAAAAAAAAGCACATGCATGCATATACAGTATATGTGCATGAACACCGACCCTATAAAATAATATAAGCTTATATGGATGGGATTACAACACATATCTTTTACTGTATAACCTTATTTTAAAGGACATGTTTACATCGGATCATTAAATCCTTTTTAAGGAGATTTCATTTGTATTGTTCCACGTGTGCGACAATCATTATATCACCGATCACTGCGGATCAAGTTAGATAGGGAGACTTGTGAAGTTATTATCGTTCTTTGGAACTCGTCTTTCTTTTCCTATAGATGCAAGATAATGCATCACATCACTGATAATGTGCCTGGCATTTTCTCACATGCAACGGTTATAGGATGGAGAGAAGACACTCACGAGGGATTGTAACGGTTAACCTGATATTCATTTGATTAGCCAATAATCAAGATACAGCATCTCGCGTTAATGCTGGTAAAACCGATCAGTTCGTCCATCTCAACTATTTAGATTTAGGGTGAATTCTTGCAAAGGACGTCTAACCCTAAATGACAAATGGTCATCAATCACAGAAACCTGTGATTATTAGAAGCGTGATATCGGTTAACGGTTGGAGAAATCGCAACGAAAAGATGACTTGATTGATGGCGCCAATTCTTCTCACATACGAGTTTTTGTATCACGCAAGTCACACGAATTTTCTCAATTGCATACTGTCAAATGATGCATTACACAATGATACATTTACAGTAAGTAAGTACATTCCATTCTCTTTCCTCCCTCCAATTTAAACAATATTTGAATTTTATCCGACATTCCTCAGGCAATCATTTGGTAACGCGTATTTATACACTCGGTACATATCAATCGTCGCGCTTTTTATCCTTCTTGGTCACAATGGAGGAACAATCGTATATTATTCACATTCATATTGTGATGGCAAAATAATCCCCATTGTAAGCAAACAAATTATGTCATATTGCACACAATATTGACTACATCCTTTTGAGTTCAGGTATTCTCTTCTCTCGTGAAATAATGAGTCATTTTTTACCACAAAGAAATTCCGGTGATCAATACTCGTTAAAGTTTAATTAATCGAAAGCACCTATTCTATTCATAAAGCATCAGAAAAACGTGACAAGGTTTCGACGCGGAGCCTTTCAACGTACTCTCCCCATGTGATTTAGGTCGCATGTGTTGAAACTTGGCAATTTATCCTTAATTGCTATCCGGTCTTTACCCAACTCACTTGTGTTCCCTAAGGATAGTTTACGATTGCACCTTTCTCATTACGGGATCCTCCTCACTCTTACTGCATTTAATTCGTTTTGCAGAATCCACCGAGTTTTTTATGCAGGACGTGAAAGCACGCCCACAACTTTTTCCTCGATGTCCAATATCTTACCACCAGAAGATCATGTGTACCAAGTCATTCAATTACCCATCAGTGCATGCTTGCTTGTATCATCCCTTTTTTCGATTGCACCGCTTATTAATCATGTTTTCATCCTTATTTAAATATGCTGATTGAAGAAAGAGGGCTTCACTGAAGGATCGATGGCCCGTTACCCGTTTCAACCATTAAAGAAATAGGTGCGTTATTACAACCCTGTCTTTTTTCGTTTGTGTCATTATTTATGTATAACTTATAACACCCCGGCAAATTATTATACATGTGTTACAGTACCCGTGAAATACCCAAGTCGCACGACCATCTGATGAATTGCGATCTTCATCGCACATCCCCTCCTTTGTTACGTACGTGTGTGTACAACTTACGTTTATTATTTATGAATACGAGAACACGATTTGTGTACTGTATTCTACTTTATTGTCACCTATCTTTTTTTTTTTTTGGAGACGTACATTCGGTCCGAGAGGACTGAGGTTGTTTCGATTAATAAACAATTGAAGCGCAGCCGCAATTGCATTTTTCATTAATCACCAAGTATTGCTCGTGTTCCCCGTTCAAGGTGAGTAATACTTGTAGCATGGGTAATATTGTAGTGTGGGCAATTTTGTAGTCTGGGCAATATTGTAGTGTGGGAAATATTGTAGTGTAGGTACAGTAATAGTTTCTCCGTGGAAGATCGGCGCCATTCCCTCGTAAACATCAAAGTGTGTGAGTCGAGTGTCAAATCAGCTAAAGACCAGCATAAACGCCGAGTGCACTTTTCCTAAATGTGGTAAGTTGTACCATGCCAGGAAAAAAAATCCTGAATGTTTTTTTGTTTATTGTATAGTGAAACCAGATTAGATGCACAGAATTCAAAACAATGCTGCAGTTGTTATTGCACGCTGCATCTATGTTGTTTCTTCCTCCCTTCTGATAGTCTGTTTTCAAGTTTCACATGGTATCCTTAATCCAACCATGTATTCAACCCCTTGAGGCAATTGTCCACTCCATTTGGAAGGTTAACTCAGGATAGTAATGACAATGTGAGTTCGAGGTTAGATCATGGCTTGAAATTCGGAAAACCATCATTCCTTGGATTAAGCATTACGATTGTCGAGATACGCCCTTTCTTTTTTAGCGTTTTGTTTCAGGAACTCACTTGCGCGTACGCTACTTCCCCATCGAAAAGCGCATAAGGTTGGCAGACACTGTGCTCAACTGAAAAGCGTTAATTATGCACTTCGGATTTAGATCATTTTGGGCTAATACATAAATGTTGGTTGGTTGTCTGTTATCAAAGTTATTGATCTAAAAAACATTAAAAAGAACTAACTAAAAAAGATGAAATAATTTCAATAGCTTTTTAAATCGTTATTTTTTTTGGTTGACTTCAATCTAAAGTTCGGATTCGGAATGCTGATCTTAAAAGATTATTTGGTCAAATAAATTATATTAGGAGCCGACTTAATATGATTCAAGATATTTGTAAGACAATGTTTTTTCAAACAAATCAAAAAAGGATTGCATGTAGAAAGTAGAAAGCTATTACGCAAAAAACACTTAAATAATCTGATTAGTAATATACTGCGTGAAATCAATTACTTTATAATAAACAGATAAAAATATTTATGTTATCATATGATGGAAATGTAATACGAGTTGATAAATCAAAATTCAATGTACGTGTTTTTCATCTATGCTACATATAATAAATACTGTATATTTTTTAAAACAAGCAAATAAATAAATCAATAAATTTTACATACAGTATTTGTTTAACAAAAACAAAAATTTGAAAAAATAAATAAATTTTTTATGATAATCATATGATTTTCTTTCTTTATAAATAATTTTATATACTGTATGAGTTTTCATATACATAGAAAAAATAACAACATTTCTCAAAAATATATTATCATTATCATTATTATTATCATTATTCAAATATTTGGTCAGATTATAATATCTTTATAAAATTTATTAATAATCAAAATCAAAAATCAAGAAATATAAAGAAAATTTATAAAATTCCTTTCACTGATCTAATTTATATCTTTTGTATTTCTTGTTTAAAAAATTAATAGCGATCAAATAATCTTTTGATAGATTAATTTATTTGATTTATATTTTTTAAATTAAAAAAAATAATAACTTTCTTTCATAATCTATCAATTTATAAAAAAAAATACTTTTTAAGATAACATACAAAAAAATATTAATTAATAAACAATTCAATAAACCAAAAGTATACCTTTTTTAAAAATAATATAAAAATAATATAAAACTTAAATTGCAAAATACAAAGCTTAAAAAACTTTTTGAAATCTGAAAAAAATTTTTTTCAAAAAACATATTTTAGTTTTTTAGAATTATTGTTTTTTATTAATAACAATAATATAAGATTTTTCTCTATAATCTTCTAACTAGCTATTGATTTTTTTTTACAAATTTTATTATAAAAAAATTGCAATTAGTTTATTCTTATCAAAAAATCTATACAATACAAAACAATAATTGTATTTGATATATTAATAATTTAATAATTTAATGACTATTATACTATACTATTTCTAAAATTACAAACAATTAATTAATATTATTATCAACAATAAAGTTATACCTTATAAATAACAATACTATTGTTTAAAAAAAATGATTATAAATATCTAATCAATATAAATCGAATTTTAAATAATATTATTTTTAATATTATTTCAATATTATTTTGATATTTAAATTTATTATAAATCAATACTATTTCAATATCAATGCAATCTCAATTCAATTCTTTTTAAACTTTTAAATATAAATAAAAATTTTTATTTTAAATAAATATAAAATACTAAAAAATTGAATCTTATAATATA